AGATAATTTCAAGATTGATGAGAATGGAAAATGGACACTTATTGCAAAGGAAAATGGGAACATGTCGAAGGAAAAAGGGCACGTGTCAAAAATAAAAAGGGCACTCGTTAGAGGTGAAAAGGGGGAAGGGGCACTTTTACTAAGTAATAGGGGCACTTGTCAAAGTAAAAGGGGCACCTTTCCTATGTAAAAGGGGCACTTCTTACAAAATAAAAGGGGTACTTTTCCTATCTAAAAGGGGCCCTTTTGGGGTATCTGAAAAAGTGGGGGGGGGCCGCCTCTGGTAAAAGGAATATAATATAAAAGTAACATTTCATACACTAATTACGCAGTTTTTCCACGAACCTTCAACAACGTTACCGAGTCACTTTAAGAACAGAGTGCAGCTAGATCAAAGTCCTCGAAATTATTCAACAACTTAAAAACCTGAATCATGTCTGCCTGTTCACGCGTATACAGTATACACTTTTGGGAGTCATGTGCCGCTGGATTCCATATCCTTAAACAGCTGGCGAACAGAGCAACAAGACCAAGCTCTGTATTTATTAGGATTTCTGTCCAGTAGTGCCGTGTTTGTGCCATCGAACTGGATCGACCAAATCAATTGATTCATAATACATACTTTTTTTTATCGTGTATTTACTCACGTTTTAATAGGTAAATATTTTTCAGGTAATTATCACAGTTTAAACTCACACCCCGCTACAATAAATGTATGATTATTGATTACAGCTTCGATAAATGTGATAGTAATATTGGCCTAGTGTTGATACATCTGCAAGGACGACAACAGTTCTCATGAATTCATAACGCTTACCTCATCAAACTCGTTCGCATGTCAATTTCCAAGATTCATATTCGAGAAAAAGCCGATATTTTTATCCGCGCGTCAAAGGATTTTGGTATAAGGAGAACGACTTCCTAGACTTTTGAAATAAGAGAGAGAGAGAGAGAGAGAGAAAGAAAGAGAGAAAGAGTGGGTGGATGGTCCTATCTTTAAAATCTAGGGTACTTTGCGGGCTTTAAGGAAATACAGTATCAGTGTTTTTTTTCTTCAATTGTAAAATAGCATAAACAGATATTCTACATATTAATGATATAATATATTTATACAAATTCTTGCATGGCAGTTTAGTCTTCTATCAACAATTCCTCAAACCTGTGAAATATTAAAATTATATAACTTAGCAACATAATCACGTAGGTCATTTGTATAGTCCTCCCATAACAAAGGGTCCGCTAAGAATCACCCCCAACACTGTAGCAAAATATTTCGCAAACAATGCCCTAAGACAGTTTCGGTAGACTTGTGCGTCACCTATATTGAAATGTGCGAACATGACAATCAATGACGTACATGATCGGAACATGATTTCTCCATGGGACATACATTATACATGATAAGATATTGAAATTGCCCCTGAGTCGAAACATAGAATAAGAAGTTGTCATCGTGCTCCTCTTACACGATTATTTTGTTGTGTGTACTCCTGCCTTTAAAGCTGGAATAATCTCTTTACCTATATTTATGACGTGATTGTGAGAATAAGATTATTCTCGATAGATACAAATTAAATGTGAGGCTCCTTAGGAGTAATTCCAATTATTGGCTTGCATCCAGTAAAGAAAGAACACGTGCTCGGTCTTGTGTATACAAAAAAACAAAAACGGAAACGGTCTTAAAACCAGCGGAATTGTAGGTGTATGTATCTTATCAGAACTTTATTGTCATAGTGTTCTTGTATGTCGACCATTTCAGACAGTCAATAATTGTTAAGCCTTCCTTTTTCTTCTCTCCTTGCTCTACCCTCATTTTTAGACCACCACTAGGAAGGGGGGGGGGGTAGGGTGATTACCTGGAAACACAGTATTGTTTGCCTTTTGGGTCTAAATCATATACCCAATAGGCAATACAATACTGATTTATTTCTCTATCTTGATAAAGTGACCTGAAATCACTGCATTCTAAACCATTATTTTAAATAAATCCCCTGAAATAATAATTTTAACATGGGTTAAATAGATTAAACAAATATGATGTCGGAGGTTCTAGGACGCTAATCACGTTCAGAATTCCATATGCAGTTAAAGGGATAGTTGAGTTCTATTTTCAGACCAAAAATGCTTTCAAAGTGCATGGTTATTGTTCTTATTCTTATCTATGACATTTATAGTGCCCTTTTAGAACATAAAATTGCTATGAAGGTAATTGATTTTAACGGTCCAGCTCCACTTTAAAAAAAAACACGGCGACCGTTTATTAATTATTTTATTAAAAAAAACAATACATGAGCCGGCTGAATGTGGATAATATAAACAACACGAAAATGCCAACCAAAAAGCCAACATCGGCATTGGCTGAAATACGATGTAAAAGGCGTTATTTCATTTTTTTTTCAACGGTTTTCAACGGTTTTTTCAAATTTTTCAAAACATCAAATATATGTGATGGTACACAAGTATGAGAAATCGTTATATTTCAGCCGTCTCTGAACCGATTTTGATCAAACAAAGATGATTTTGTCATTTAAATATTATGTTCTTTCAAATTTGACACTCAGTTTTTCATTATCTCACATAAAAATTAGTTTGTGTAGCGCCCTCTGCAACAAAACTTAACTATTCCTTTAAACTATGCGAGCGCAAAGCGCGAGCCAAATTTTTCGATATAATGACTTGATAATGTAAAGTGGCCTGAGCGGGTAGGCAAAGGGCATGGTTATAAACTTACAGAGACACTACGATGAAGCCACCCTTACTCCATGCTTGCCTGTGTTGCACTGCCCTGGGCTTTTCAACTTTAAACCTCAGGGGTTTATTTTGCATATATAGGTATTTACATGTTCATGTATATAATAAAAGGAAATAATGATTATTCAAATATCATAGGTAGCAAATAAAGGATGACAAACAGAGGAATGAAAACAAACATATAGGACAAGCGCGTAGGGGCGGTAGTGAGCACGCGAAGCGTGCGAATCACTTAAAGAGCGGGCGAAGCGCGCTCCTTAGGGGTTTGGTGCAGGCAGGCACGTAGCCAGAGTTCGATGTTTGGGGGGGGGGGCACCTACATGTAATCGATCGAGGTCAAAAAAGGGGTCTAATAAAAGTTCAATCGATCTTGGAAATGTTAGGGGGGCACGTGCCCCCTCCCCCCGTGCCCCCCCCCCTGGCTACGTACCTGGATCAAGGGAGGGGATTTTCGTTATACCTTTCTCGACTCATAATCCTTGTCTGAATTCAGCCGCCCCCCCCCCCCCCCACCCCTCCCCCTGCGCATAGCGCGGAAGCGTTCACGTATTGTTAGAAAAAAGGAGACGATCCGTAGTATCTTTTCCGACTCTTAATCCTTATCTGTATTTAGTTCCCCCCCCCCTCCCTCCCATGCGAAGCGCGGAAGCTTCGACGTTTCATTAAATTATTAGAGAATGAAGACGATTCGTTGTACCGTTCTCGATTCCTTTCCTCTTTTTATTCCTACGTCCTCTTACTTTTTTTTATTCTCTTTCTCTCTCTTTTTTTTTGGGGGGGGGGGGAGGGGGACCGCGCCTGAGATAGGAGAGGATGATCAAGTATAACGATGTGCATCAATCTATAAATGTGAAGTACTAAGTAGATTGTTCACACTACAGCTCTACAATGAAAAAAGCATTTGTAGCCTTTCTTTTAAGCAATCGAAGAGATTAATAAAAGTAGGCCTACTTGAAGAAATCGTTATATTGTAAGATATTCGGTTTATATCTAGTAAGTTAAATAAAGTACCAGGGGTTAAAATAACACACATTTAACACCTTTGGAAAAAGACGTGCCTGAGAAGATCTTACTCCAATGACAAATAAGCCCCCTCAATCAATCTTCCAAATGTATAAACTCTCAGTTGTAATAATAACTTGAATACTAAGTCGATCTGTAGATTATAGAAACGCATGAAGCTTCCATCCCAGAACATAAGTGTGCAAATATATTTGAGGAGGGCTGGGTCAATTATAGCCTATCCGAGCCCGAATAAAATATTAGGGGTGCGGGGGGGGGGGGGGGCTCAATGATATCCGAGTCCCGACAAAATATTTGGGGGTCTCAATGATATCCGAGATCCACCAAATATATTCACAAATATCTCTACTTTTAGCCGGTCAAAGGAAATTTAATAATCTTATATTAAAACCAACAAAATAGCCCCATTTATATCAAATAACTGTAATGGATTAGCTTTTTCTTTTTTGTCTCTCACAGTAATGTAAAATACATTGCAGTTTTGATGAAAACTAAGTTTTTGACTTTGTCTTGATATAATATTCAAAATTCGGAAACATATTAAAGCATAGTAACTACAGCCTCATTATTTCAGAATTTAACTTGTCTTTACAATACGATGACAAATAATGCAGATATATGTTGTTGTAGCAAGTAAATTATATTTTGCTGATTTTGGACCTACCTGGTATCGGATCATTGATATAATACAACATTGCAAGTGGACCAAGTGACAGAAATCTCGCTCTCTATCTCTCTCTCTCTCTCTCTCTCTCTTGCTGGCTCTTCCTCTCTCCTAATATTTTGTTCTCTCTTTTTTAATAACTATCTTTCTTTAAGTAATAACTTATAAAGCACAACATCCACTGCAAACTATTACTCAACGCTCTCTGCATAAACAAGCCAATGCTAACTTCAAACAAGCACGATAAGGAAAGGATATATAAATACACACTTCAGTCATTTAAAGGGGGAGTCGCTGCAGTTCCTGATAAAGCTAACCAAATCAATCCTCACATAGGGTAAACATTTAGTTCAAACAATTACGTTCACATATATTACACTTCTGTTTCCAGTTGTCAATGGCTGATGATATTTCAGTAGAAAGATCATTCCTAGAATTAATTAACATTTGACCGAAATAATGTAACCAGTTACTCGCGCGATATCTCCTCTTATACAACTTAAACTAGAGTCATCTAGCAGAAGGTCATTCCTAAAATTCAGAAAAAAGAGAGAAACATTATTGTTTCAGCGAAACATGAAAGTTATTTGTTTTTTCCAAGATTTTTGCAAGATACCGTATTGACCCTGACCTACTTCTAGGGTCAAGTAAGTGTATACGTTGCAGAGCACATTTTTCCACGGATGTGGTCTGACATATCATTTCAGATGCTTATTTAGAGGCCAGAATTCCAGGTTTAGGAAAATGGCAACGGTATTTCAGAGTCGCTAGCAATTTCCGCAAAACAAGTGAGTAAAGCTTGGATAAGATATTATAAAGTGTATGATAATGAATTGGTGGAAATTAATGATTATTTGGTGTCACATTCGAGTATGAAGATGTGTTAGTAATGTGCATGTTAATGTGTATAGAAGTGTGCAGCGTAATGTGTACGTTTACATTGAAAGTATGTGCGGTATTTAGTTAGTGTTTAATTCACACATTTATAAAGAGGGATTTTGTGCTTTTTAAATCACCGACTTATAATGACATTAGTCAGAGGTTGATTTAAGGTTGTTTTAGTTGACAAATTATAAATATTGGTATTGACATATGAAATAAGTGTCGGATAAATCAGAGTAATGAAAGAAAAAGACTGAATTACAGTCAGGTTTTTTGGAATTTATAATGAAAGTTCAATGAGTCTAAATAAGAAAGACAAGTTTGACATACTTTGAGTAACATGGGATTTATTTATTAAGCATATATTTAAAGGTAGTCTTGACTAGGAATTTATCTAGGCTGGGGACCTTGGTTACTCGGGTTTTAATGAAAGCAGTATTTCTGTCAAGATATGTTATTTTGACATAGAGATTAATGGGGGTTTAGGCCTTTTACAGAGTTTTTGGATATAGAGTCAAGACTTTTAATGAATGCTATTTAAGGCTTTTGATTATACATTACCGGATAAATGCATACTGATTTAGTTCAGTACATTTTATGTGTTATAGACATGTATACTGAGGATGCTTATTTTTATTCTACTTTCAGGTTGAATAAAATAGCTCAACTGGCATATCGTTGAGTTCATATACAACCAAGCGGAAACCTAGTCCTGTCTTCATTTTTTGAGCGTACCAACAATTCAACTTGTTCCAGAGCCGGTACATCGAGAACTGAAGCAATGCCGACTGATGACATGACAAGCCTAAGGTTGAAGAGGAGAGGGACCAAAGCCAAGTTCACCAGGTTGGGGAATGTGTTGGATTTCCTGATAGAGGAAAAGCGGCCGGTGGAAGAGGTGAAGGAAGCTTTGAAACAAGCCAACCAGGCTTACGTAGACCTCCAATCCAAACACGAGGACTATACAGAGAAGATTGAGAACGATGAAGAATTCAACAAGGAGGAGCTATGGCTTGATGAGTGCCAGAATTATTTCTGTAAGCTCCAGATCCGAGAGAAGGATTATATCTCTCAGATGTCTTCGTCGCAAGAGCCTCAACAACCAACAGAGAGAGATGAGGAGAGCTCCCAGAGAACTGTTGTTCAAGCAGAGTCGAACCGGCCTCAAGCTCCTCGCTTCAACATGGAGAGGCCCAAGTTACCAACGTTCCAAGGAGACATAAGAGAATACAATGTATTCAAGGCTGATTTTCAGCATGTTATACATCCACACTACGATGAGAGGGATGCTTTGATGATCCTGAGGTCTTGTTTGAAGGGGAAGCCACTTCAACACATTAGAGGAATAGGGCGAGATTATGAAGCTGCATGGGGTCAGCTAGATCTGCTCTACGGAGACTCAAGGATGGTAGCTGATGCTATTATGGAAGACGTATCCCGATTTCGTCCTCTGAAAGATGGGGAAGATGAGAGATTCTGTGACTTTGTGAATCTCATACGCAGAAGTTTCAGTACCTTGAAGGAGGTAGATAGAGCTGAGGATATGAACAATAGTCACATGCTAGCCATCATTGAGAAGAAGCTCTATGTCACAGATCGACAGATGTGGTTCCGAAAGCAAGGAGAAGGAACAACGGCGACATTAGAGGCACTGTTGAAGTGGATGGAGATTGAGTTGAGAGCAAGGATAAGATCATCTGCTCCAGTGAGGAATGATGCAGCCTCTAAGTCCAGATCCGCTGTTAGTCAGGTCACAGCATTTGAGGAAAGACCGCAAGACTATCGTTGCTGGATCTGCAAGAATAAGGATGGGCACTGGACTGACCAATGCAAGACTTTCCTCGATAAGTCTACAGCGGAGAGGTTGGAGATGGTGAAGAGTAACCGAGCTTGTTATAGCTGTTTAAAGCAAGCCGGCAGAGAGCATCGAATGGCTACTTGCAAGAAAAGGAGACGGTGTCCAGAAAAATACAAGGGGCAACCATGCAAGTTCTTTCATCATCCTTTGTTACATCCCAGCATGGACAACAATGCGGTGGGAGTAGCCCTTGTAAGAGGTACTGAAGCCATGCTACCCGTCATCAGGGCAAGGTTTTCAGGTTCAGAGCTGAAGATCCAAGGAAACGTGCTGTTAGATTCAGGGGCCCAGATCAGCATCATCCGACAAGGGCTCGCTGAAGACTTGGGACTGACAGGAAAGAGCATCAGTATCACAATAATAAAGGTGGGCTGTGTAGAGGAATCTGTGACAACATCCTTGTATAGAGTGCCGGTCAGTTCAGTAGATGTAAAGACAATCCATAAGATATTAGCTGTTGGATTACCGTGCATCAATGATGACATTGAGGAGGTGAACACTGATAATCTTGCCCGACAAGTAGGCCTCAACCCCAGAGAGTTACGTAGAGGTAGTGGGTCTATAGATCTTCTGATAGGAATTGACCACGCTATGATGCACGCAGGTGAAACGAGACAACGAGGCAACTTCATCTTTAGGAAGTCACCACTTGGATGGGTGGTGTTTGGAGCATCTAAGCTGAACCAGCAGTATCAGAATAGAGTGCTCAACGTGCAACTGAGTCCAGCAACTGACTTATCAGCGTTTTGGACTACAGAGACGATGGGAGTTGATGTGGGTTGTCATTGTGAAGCCGAAAGGATGACTAAAGTAGAGAAAGATGAACATGATCTTATCTGGAACTCTGCCAAGAAAGTGGGTAAGCAGTGGCTTGTTCCTTACCCATGGAAGGATAACCCAGAGAAGCTGCCCGACAACAGAGTGCAAGCAGAGAGAATGCTTCAGGCGACGGAGAAAAGGCTTGCAAAGAACCCAGAGCATGCTGAAGTTTACAAACAGCAGATGCAAGAGATGGTCGAGATGGGGTTTTCGAGAAAGCTGACTGATGAAGAGAAGAAGAGGCATGATGGGCCTGTCCATTACATTGGTCATCATGCGGTTGTCAGGCCGGAACAAAAGAGCACACCAGTGAGAATTGTGTTTAACTCATCAGCAGTTTTCAAGGGACAGTGTCTGAACGACTACTGGTTCAAAGGGCCAGACTTATTACAGAGTCTGTTCGGAGTACTCTTTCGCTTCAGAGAACACAGAGTTGCGATATGCGCCGACATATCCAAGATGTACCACCGAGTACTGATTCCAGAATCCGATCAGCACGTCCATCGGTACTTGTGGAGAGGATTAGCTTCAGAGAGAGAACCGGATGTGTACGTGAAAACTGTACTCACGTTTGGAGATAAGCCTGCTGCAGCAATGGCCCAGATAGCTCTGAGGAGGACAGCAGTAGAGGGAGAGTCTCAACATCCTAAGGCAGCAGAAGTACTGAAACGTGACACGTACATGGACGACATATGTACCTCAGTAAGAACGTCAGAGGAGGCAAAAGATCTTGTCAAGGACATAGATGAGGTGCTAGCTGACGGAGGCTTCAAGGTGAAGGGTTGGCAATCCAACGAACAGCTGAAAGATGAGACTTCTCAGATGAAAACCAACGTTCTTGAGAATCTGAGTGAGGAGAAGGTTCTGGGGATGGTATGGAACCAAAACACAGATGAGTTTTCATACAGAGTGAAAAGAAGTATGATCCCAGATCTTCCAGATGAACAGAAAGACACCGACAGCAAATGGACAAAGAGACGGATACTAAGCCAGATTGCAAAGATCTTTGATCCCATAGGATTTGCTTCAGCATTACTGGTGAAGGCAAAGATAGGAATGCAACGCCTGTGGCAGCTTGGTTTAGATTGGGATGAAGAGCTACCCTCCAGAGAAAAAGCAGAATGGGTAAAACTCTTCAGAGAGATGGAGAACTTAGATGGAGTGTCCTTCCAGAGATGTTTGACACCACCCGGTGCAATGAGACGACCTACATTATGTGTCTTTTGTGATGCATCTGAAGAGGCGTTTGGAGCTTGTGTTTACATTCGCTGGGAGTTAGAGGATGGCAGCTATGTAGTTAGATTTGTGACGGCGAAATCTAGAGTAGCACCACTAAAGAAGTTGACACTGCCGAGATTGGAGCTACGAGCTGCAGTGGTTGCTGTTAGACTCGATGCAACCATCACAGATGAGACCACACTAGAGTTAAGAGAGACAGTGTTCATGACAGATAGCATGATAGTGCTTGGATGGGTTCGAAGTCAGGCAAGAAGTTTTAAGCCCTTTGTGTCAGCTCGAGTAGGAGAAATCCAAAGCAAGTCGAATCCCCAACAGTGGAGACATGTGAGTGGAGTAGAAAATCCAGCTGACGACATTTCGAGAGGTGTTACAGTTGAGAAGTTAGAGAGGTGTAGATGTGGTCCTCAATTTCTAAGATCGCCTGAGGAGGAGTGGCCACAGAGTGAGACGAAATCTGAGATTTCGTCAATGGACAGTGAAAGACGTAAAGTTCAACAGGTGTCGAATGTAGTATTGGCATCAGACAGCATCGACTGTGAAAGAGTTTCCAGCTGGAGAAAACTGGTGAGAGTCACTGCATATGTACGGAGATTTACCCACAACATGAAGGCGAGGGTAAGATCAGGAGATGAGAGAGGGAAAGTGACGGCAGGACCACTTACAGCAGCTGAGCTAGGTGATGCAGAGATGTACTGGGTCAGAGAGGCTCAGAAACCGCTTCATGACAGACTGAAGAAGGGGGAGTTCAAGACTCTAACACCCTACAAAGAGAATGGAATCATCAGAGTTGGAGGTAGAGTTGGAGAAGGCGTGATTTCGTATGACAGCAGGCATCCTGTGTTATTACCTCATCAGCATCGCATCTCTACGCTCATCACTAAGCATGTCCATGAATTTGGGCATGATGGAGTTGCGACAACGGCAGCGAAAGTGAGAAGCAACTACTGGGTGATTGGCATACATAGGCTTGCCAAGACTATCAAGCACAGGTGCGTGATGTGTCGTAAGATGCAGCACACGGTCGAGTCGCAGTTTATGGCTGAGCTACCATAGATACGTATGACACCGTTTTCGCCTCCATTCCTGTATACTTCGTGGGACTACTTTGGGCCGTACAGCGTGAAGGTGGGGCGGAATAAGGTTGCTAAGCACTATGGAGTGATCTTCACGTGTCTTAACACAAGAGCGGTACACCTTGACCTAGCGGTAGATGTTTCTACAATGGAGTTTCTTCAGGTTCTACGTAGGTTTTTTGCGTTTAGAGGTCAACCGAAGTTCATTCTGAGCGATAATGGTACACAATTTGTGGGAGCGGTTCGTAAGCTACGTGAGATGGTAAAGGGATGGGATAGCGATCTACTACGCGAGTTTTGTGCGGAGAAAGGTGTAGAGTGGAGGTTTACAACCCCTTCAGCTCCTCATCAGAATGGATATGCTGAAGCACTTGTGAAGAGTAGTAAGTCCGCATTAAAGAAAGCTATAGGTGATCAGGTCCTCACTCCTTTTGAGTTATATACCTGTTTGGTAGAAGTAGCAAACCTCGTCAATCAGCGTCCAATAGGGAGGGTACCGAATGACCCCGACGATGGTAGTTATCTCTGTCCCAATGATGTTTTGTTAGGGAGAGCATCTAGTAGGGTACCCCAGGGTCCGTTCAGAGAAACGAAGAATCCGCGACATAGAGTCGAATTTGTACAACGAATCGTCGACTCATTCTGGAAGGCATGGAATCGCGATGTATTTCCAATCTTAGTACCGCGAAAGAAGTGGAATGTTGATAGACGTAATCTTCGTGTAGATGACATAGTTATATTGTCAGATCAGAACGCTCTTCGAGGAAAATGGACATTAGGGAGAATTGTTGAAGTTTTTCCTGGAACTGATAATAAGATCAGAAACGTGACAGTAAAGACAGCAAATTCTGAGTATAGAAGGCCAATAAACAAAGTGGTCGTATTATATCCAGCAGAAGGATACGAAGAGTAGATTGAACAGAAATATGTCTGTCTATAGTATTCACAGAATAACAAATTTATTCACTTTCTATGTTCTTGTTCAAAATCAACTTTTTCCAGCTTTAAGAAGATAGATGATAACAAAGCTTTGTTGGTGCAAATTTCAATTTTTGCTATTGTTACATGGGAATTGACTTTTGGCACAGTTTACACTGAGAACAAAATTCAACAGTTTGAAATTATGTACAAAGTTTAGTACATTTTGAATACATTTTTTGTATTTGAAATTTTGAGTGATATTTGCCATTTATTAGCAAATTCAGATAAGGAAGTTTGCAGAGAAAAGTTGATTTTTGTGATTATGTATACAGGAAGCAAACGGGTATGGAATATCCATTTGATATTTTTGGACAGGAAATGTACATTTGTGTATTTTCATGCAACAATTGTTTTTTCAGGTTCGTGCAGGCTTGTAGATACCTTTTCATGAGCCTTGCTAATAGTTTGGATGGTAATTTAGACTGTTAAAGTGTTAATTAAGTAGAGTGAGAAGAAGTATTTTTCACATCTTAGCTATGAGTCATTTACAGATTTTGGAGTGAAACACTGAAGAAAGTATTTTGTTCATTTTTAAATGAGATACATTGCGTACTTTTATGAAAATGATGTCAATTTTATTGTTGCCCTCATTGGGGGGAGGTTGTTTCAGCGAAACATGAAAGTTATTTGTTTTTTCCAAGATTTTTGCAAGATACCGTATTGACCCTGACCTACTTCTAGGGTCAAGTAAGTGTATACGTTGCAGAGCACATTTTTCCACGGATGTGGTCTGACATATCATTCCAGATGCTAATATTTAGAGGCCAGAATTCCAGGTTTAGGAAAATGGCAACGGTATTTCAGAGTCGCTAGCAATTTCCGCAAAACAAGTGAGTAAAGCTTGGATAAGATATTATAAAGTGTATGATAATGAATTGGTGGAAATTAATGATTATTTGGTGTCACATTCGAGTATGAAGATGTGTTAGTAATGTGCATGTTAATGTGTATAGAAGTGTGCAGCGTAATGTGTACGTTTACATTGAAAGTATGTGCGGTATTTAGTTAGTGTTTAATTCACACATTTATAAAGAGGGATTTTGTGCTTTTTAAATCACCGACTTATAATGACATTAGTCAGAGGTTGATTTAAGGTTGTTTTAGTTGACAAATTATAAATATTGGTATTGACATATGAAATAAGTGTCGGATAAATCAGAGTTATGAAAGAAAAAGACTGAATTACAGTCAGGTTTTTTGGAATTTATAATGAAAGTTCAATGAGTCTAAATAAGAAAGACAAGTTTGACATACTTTGAGTAACATGGGATTTATTTATTAAGCATATATTTGAAGGTAGTCTTGACTAGGAATTTATCTAGGCTGGGGACCTTGGTTACTCGGGTTTTAATGAAAGCAGTATTTCTGTCAAGATATGTTATTTTGACATAGAGATTAATGGAGGTTTAGGCCTTTTACAGAGTTTTTGGATATAGAGTCAAGACTTTTAATGAATGCTATTTAAGGCTTTTGATTATACATTACCGGATAAATGCATACTGATTTAGTTCAGTACATTTTATGTGTTATAGACATGTATACTGAGGATGCTTATTTTTATTCTACTTTCAGGTTGAATAAAATAGCTCAACTGGCATATCGTTGAGTTCATATACAACCAAGCGGAAACCTAGTCCTGTCTTCATTTTTTTGAGCGTACCAATTATATATTATTCAAAGTTTGAGCAACATCCCATTAAACAAATAAAAAGAATATATGAATGTTTTGAATTTGTCATCACTCAAATATATTTCGCTCTCCTCTTAATTTCCTCTTCTTCTTCAATACATGTCGACAGACTTGTTAGTCCATATAAAGACACGGAAACGAGGCACGTGGTCATGGAATAGAGCGATCTTTTAGGAATTGTAACGAATGGGACCTAAAGGAATTGATCCCGTGTTGATAACGCTTTCAGGTAACTTATTCCAGTCCTTGCACGTACGAGGGAAATATGAGAACTTGAAGAAGTCTGTCTTGCAGTACGTCTGCTACAAATAGAGGCTATTGCTGGTTGACGAACGACTGGATCTAGTAACAGCAAGAGGTGTCAGCGTCTTCGGGATGGCAGATTGACCGCTCTGGATCTGCTTCATGAGAGCAAGTCTTGCAACTTCTCGCCGATGTTCCAGGGAGTCCCAATCCAGATCCTCAACATGTCCGTGACTTTATAGCACGTTGGTTGTAATTATTGCAGACAAATCTGACAGCACGACCGTGGACCATTTCCAGCTGATTGATGTACTTCGCCTCATAGGGGTCGTAGCCACTAGCTGCATTCCTTACATATGTAGTTGGGCCGCCAGCCTTTCATGAGGGACAGTGTCGAAAGCCTTCGAGAATTTGAAAATTGCTATATCCACCTGGTGACCAGAGTCGATCGCCATAGCCCAATCATGGGATGCAAATATCAACTGGGAGGTGCAAGCATGATGCTTTCTGAAGTCATGTTGCTTGGGAATAAGGACATTGTGACGCTCCAAATGCCGACTTATATGAGAATGGACTATAATGCTCAGGAAGCTTACTGCATGGCGGCTATCAATGACACCGGTCTATAATTTGATGGTAGGGCTTTATCACCTTTCTTGAACAGCGCGGTGATATTGCCTAAAAGCCAATCCTCAGGTAGATCTCCACTGTTTAAGGATTGTTGGAATAGGTCGCGCAATACTGGTGCTATTTCATCTGCGGTTTCCTTTACCATCCTGGGACATTTTCCATCAGGACCAGTAGCTTTGTTAGTGTTTACTGTCTTAAGCAACTTCAGAACCCCTTCTACCTTAACGTTGGAATCTTCCACAGTTGGCAAGTTGGTAGGAGTGAAAGGTGTCTGGTCCAGGTTTTCCTGCGTAAACACCGCCATAAAGTAGTCAGCTAGAGATAGCGCCTTTTCCTTGTCAGAGACAAAATGGACTCTGTGGTGTCTGAGTTTCGGTATACCCTGATTCTCCATACTCTTACTTCTGATGTATTTTCATAATCCCGAGGATTTTCATGCAGATTTTCCACACTGGTCTGTAAAAAATGACGATAATCTTTCCTAAGTTACCTTTTTAAAGCTTTCCTAGCTGTCTTAATGATGCCGATGGGCAGTATATCGCTTATCAGTTTTGCCTTTTTTATGGATACGATTCCTCGCTGTAATGAAACGTTTGATCTTGGTATTGATACATGGTATTGTGTCACGGGTCGACATCTTTATAGACGAAACAAATGACTCCTCAAATCTTCAAGACTTTTCTTTAACTTAGTCCAATTTTCGTTAACGGATCTTGATTCAGGTTCAGTACTAAAATACTCCTCTGAAAATCTGGAGATTCCATCACGCACTCTGCCGGAGTCAGCTTTGCCGTAGCAGTTGATCTTGCGACGAGGCATGACACATGCTCCGCCGACATTTACTTCGCAAAATGCGACAATTGCTCCGCGACATTTGCTCCGACGTCAAATGCTCCGCCGACATTTGCTCCGCCGACAGTTGCTCCTCCGACATTTGCTCCGCCGACAGTTGCTCCGACGACAATTGCTCCGCTGATATATGCTCCGCCGACAATTGCTCCGCATGAAGCGATACATGCTCCAGTGACAAATGTTCCTCGAACGGCAGTTGCTCCGACGACATTTGCTCCGACGACAGTTGCTCCGACGATAATTGCTCCGCCGACATTTGCTTCGCCGACAATTGCTCCTGCGACATTTGCTCCGAATGAAGCGACAATTGCTCCGGTGACATTTGCTCCGACGACGTTTGCTCCGCTGACAATATTTTTTATTCATGGGTTATTTTTTAAATAATATTTATTATGTTTCGTTTTCCGAATGCAATTCATAAAATGATGTAGATGAAATGTAATTAATGAATGTTGATGATGTGGGTGAAAAAGGAGTTGCCTAAAAGTCATTTCGAATATGCTGGAATAAACTTTCATCAATCACTGTACTTTCCAGATAATGAACACTAAGCAATTATTGCATGTCAGGGGAAGTAAACGCTTTTGTTACAATCTTTCTATTTCAGAGCAGTTTGACACATGTATCATACGTTTCCTATTTGAGCTGTAATTGCTTTCTAAATTTGTATTGCTATTAAGGATATTTACCATCCAACAATTGATATGTAGGATTCTGTTTATGGTATTATGCTGCCCAGAGGCGGAGGAGCGACTTTCAAAGTGGGAGGGCACCAACACAAAAGGGCACTTTCTGGGGAAAAGGGGCACCTTCAAAGGGAAATCTCAAAGTGAAAATATACAATTTGTTTTAGACATTTGTATACCCCTATATTGTAATTACATTATCAGGGATGATTTCTCTTTTACATCATATAAGATATTGCTTAAGCATCATACTTTACAGTTTGGTGTGATGGTCTGAAAATTCATTTGTGAGCGAGCAAAGCGAGCGAGGACAAATTCAAAAAAGTTGTGAGGTCGCAGTGTCAAAAATTACATCTTATATAGAGGAAAAACACAATCCTGATGGGGTTATAAGCACATTGTCATAACGGAAGACTGAAATGACCTTTGATTAGTAATATAATTATTACATCTATAAATGCGAGCGAGCGTAGCGAACGAGCTTTGGGGGAAATTGCTCTTAATCGCTTGAAATTAGGGGTACGTTTAATGATGAGAGGGATTAGACACTTAGTAGAAAAGAAAAGGAACACGTGTCAAAGTTCAAAGGCTAATTATCGGTGGTGAACATGGATCACTTCTTAGACCTAAAAAAAGAGGTACTCAACAGGGATGAAAAAGGCACCCATCCGATTGTGATAGGGACATTTATAAGAAGGGAAAAGGGGCGTTTATGAAAAAGGGATAGGTTCCTTATTAGAAAGGAAAAGGGATACGTATCATTGTTTAAAAAGTAATTATCATAGGTGAAAAGAGGCACTGACCATATATAAAAAGAGGCACTTATGAGAATGAAAAAGGGGCACTAATAATAAAGGGAAATGTGCATTTGTTAAAGGAAAGGGGGCACCGACCAAATTTTAATAGTGACATTTATCGGAGGTGAAAAGGGGCTTTTATGAGAAGGGGAAGGGGCACTTAAAAGAAGGAAAAATGAGCATTCATTATGTAGAAAAGGGGGACGTGTCTAAATAAAAGGGGCATTTATTATAGAGATGAAGAAGCACTCATCAGAAGGGGAAGGGGCACTTGTCAAAGTAAAACGAGTATCTCTCATAATTGAATAGGGTCATTTACAAAAGGTGAAAGAGGCACTTATGAGAATGAAAAGGCGCATTTATGAGAAGGGGAAGGGCCTTTTGTTTAAATGGGGGGCACTTATCATACGGAAAAGGGGCACTTATTAGAAAGGAAAGGGGGCACAATCTTAGGAAAATATAAGATGCGCTTATTCGAGTTAAAAACGAGTTAAAAAGGAGTAGTTATTAAAAGGGGTAGGGGCTCTTCTACGAAGGACAAATGCGAACCTGTCAAGGCAAAAGGGGCACCTCTCGTATGTGAATAGGGCAATTACCAGAGGTGAAGGGGCGCTTATCAAAATAGAAAAGGGGCACTTCTCGTACCTGAAAAAGGGCACTTACTAGAGATTAAAGAGGGCACGTATGAGAATGAAAAATGGACACTTATTGCAAAGGAGAATAGGAACTTGTCGAAGGAAAAGGGGTACATGTCAAAGTAAAAGGGGGAATTATCAGAGTTGGAAAGGGGAAGGGGCACTTTACAAATTAATAGGGGCAATTGTTAAGTTAAAGAGGCACTTTTTCTATGTAAAAAGGGCACTTTTGGGGCTCTTGAAAAAGTGGGAGGGCACTGTGCCCCCCTGTCCCCTGCCCCCCCCCCCGGGAGCGCCGCCTCTGATGAATCCTGTTGCATCACCATTTGAGAGTGTTTTGGCTTTTGTTCGGTTAGCAGGAATAAGAGAATGGTTTATTGGAGTTCTGGTCATCCAATTAGATTTCGAAATAAACAGTTTCAAAGCATTGTGAAATTAGATTAGGTGTAAATAAACAAGATTTAGGGATTATCGAATCGATAAATTTGCACACGAAAGCCCCCCTCAGGCACTTGCGCTGCATGCAGAAACATGTAGAAGTGTATGGGACCAAACTCAATTTATTGTGATATGAATGTTTAAAATCCCTTGTATACATATTTTGCAACATCAGCATAGATTCTTTGATTTCTTTGATATGTTAATAATTGTATGGGGCTCAATCTTCTTATTTTATGAGTTCGTTTAAAAAGAAATATTTGATCAATATCTCGGATGTCTGTTCTTGTTGTGTGTTGCCTAGTTTTTGAGACAATTCGAAATGACGCATAAATGAGCTTACTTTGTACTTGCATAATTATGCATATCCGAAAACTGGTTTAAAGACAACGTTAAGTTCTGGGAAAAGTATTTATTGTTTTACGCATTTTGTTTCTTTCTCGGTTACGAATAATGTTATAACTTTTTTTAAAGGATCCCAAAGAGGTTGCTCGTTAAAGGCCTTTATAATTTATATTAGTAATGACAAGAAATAGCTGAAGTGTTTGGGCTGAACATTCATGCCAGAATAAATTGAGTTTGGTCCCTTATGCTATCCTAAGATTCCTCGAGGTTCTTCCAGTCTTCTACTCGGCTGTCAGGAACACGATAATAACATCCCACGAGAAATGTTTTTCCTGATGTCAATACAAATCTGGGTCCATATTATTTCACTAATATGCAGAACGTGCAGAACATCTAATAAAACTTTCATTTTCTTAGTTATTAATGACGGAATAGATTTGTTTCATACAGGGTTGTTTTAATACACATTTGAAACAAATATACTAGGGTGAATGTATGCTTGAGCATTTTTTAATAGAAAATGTTTAAAGTCTTGTATTACATGGGCAAATAAGAGGAGAGCTCATAAGATACGTCACAAAGTTGTGTTTGATTGAAAGCCCCTCAACAAATTCATTCTTTTTGTCTTTCAATTGGCTTTTGCTCAAAATTTGTCTGACCAGTTTCTCTCATATTTGTCCGCCTTCTATTAAAACGATTTAATACCAGGGTGGACATCCCCTTTAAGAGCGAAGCGTGCAGCTAGATCAAAGTCTTCTAAATCATCCATCACACATAATAACCTGAATCACATGTTGTCGCGTATTGGATTCTAGGCTTTTTTTATCGTGTATTTACTCACTATGTTAAATACTGTTCAGGTAATTATCACAGTTTAAACTCAACCCCCGCTGCAATTGTAACAGTTTTGATTAGAGTTGAGATAAAAGTGATTGTGATATTGGCGTTATGTTGATACACCTGAAAAACCGACAAAAGTTCTCATGAATGTAACATTATAATCTCGTTAAACTCGTCTTCATGCCATACTCATTCCAAAACTCATTCTAGACAAGCTGATATTTTCACCCGCTCGTCAAAGGATTTTGGTGTAAGTAGAACGAAACTCTTACACTTTTGAAATGAGAGAGAGAGAGGGGAGGGGGGGGGGGGTAATGGTAGGAGTTGTTACATCTTGGGTATTTTACAATCTTCTAAGGAAATACAGTTCCTTTTTCGTATTGTGATAACATATATATATTTTATCACAATAAAACAAAATAGACATTTTACTAAAAATCGACTATTTATGATATAATATATTCAAACAAATACTTCCACAGCAGTTTGGTTTCCTATCAACATTCTTCAAACCTTTAAAATATTTAAATTATATAGCTTAGCCACAGAATCATCATAGATTTGATGGATTGTTGATAATTTTCCCAATTGTTGTATAAGTACTTGTATATATTGTATTATTACAATGTAATTGTTAATTATAATGTATACACTATTCCACTTTCAAAATTGAAAATGCTCTCAAATGGCAATCTTTAATTACCGCTAAGAATTACCGCCAACACAGTAGCAAATTATTTCGCAAACAATAATCTAGGGCAATTTCGGTACCTTTTTTCCCCTTTATTTTCCCCTTTCTCTGACTATCTTTCTTTAAAAACAGACAATCCAACCAAAAAAATATTGCTCTACGCACTTCAAAAAATATATAATGGTAACCCATTTATTTTAAGTCATTTAAAAAGGTGTGTCTGTAAACTTTCGCTAAACATATATATCTCTACCTCCCACCTTCTCTTCCTCTTTGTATCTCCACTACAGGTTTGCAACATGACTTTCAACGTGACCATCAGCCTGTTCCTCATTTCCGCCATCGCATGCCTCACCGAAGGATGCTGTCCGGACATGTTCGTGGGAGTCGGTGACCGCTGCTACCACTACAGCTCCTACAAGAGAACATGGATCAATGCGGATAGTGCATGCAGAGGGCTTGGAGCGCATCTAGTGAGCTTCCACAACTCGGGGGAGAGCGCAGAGGTCTATGACCTTTGGAAGAGTTATACCGATGTGGCTTACACCGATGATAAAGACAGGGTGAGCAGACGAGTATTCGAAGCTGTATGGGGGAGGGTGAATTGAGTGGCCATATATAATTTCGAAAACAAAAAAATAAAATAAAAAGAGAGAGCATATTGCTCCGTTTAGTCTCATTTCACAACGCCCCCTATCGTTAGAGTAAGCAGCCTAACATGTTAGCCTATGGAATTTTACCCCCCCCCCAAAATCGTTTAATTTTTTTTTTTTTTTTTAACGAAAAGCATATCCACCCCGACGTACGTTATCACTTGCTCTTTCATTGGAACCCTCATGTCCCATTGACCTTTGAAAGTTCACCCACCGTAATTTGATCAAAATAGGTTGCAAGCTCGCTATTACCATTAATACACATGTGAAACAAGTCGAACTTTGGACTCAGTTTGCCAAGCGATTTTAAGATTAAAGGTCAAGCACACGTAGGATAAGAAGCATGAATTATCATGGATCACTTCTGCGTGGTTCATTATGTCTATTTCATCCAACCCCCACCGTAGTTTTTCCATTTAGTATTAGCAAACATTTTGCAGAGGTAAGCAAAAACATGAATATTCATGAACGGTCAGACAATACAGCCTTTTAGTACGTAACGTATAGTGAAATGGAATGGGCGATGATCCGTCCAGGAGGTAGAGGTCAGTGGTTTGTGCTGGCAATGTTCAAGCTAGCGAAAATGAGACAACCGGAGCAATATGAGAGAGTTAGGCACCAATTAGAGGATACATCCAATGAAGTTTAGCTGTGTTTGACTTGATTGTAATTTTTCATTCCTTATAATGTTTGTTATTGTTTTATTTGTATGTTTTTAATCTGGTTGCAATATGCAAATCGCAAAAACACAAAATTAATTAATAGGTTTTTGAAGAAGATAGTATCTATATTGTTTCAAATGTATACAAAATATATGATATGATTACACTATCTCTTAAAAAGAGGTAAGACAAATATTAGATAGCTTAGACAGATAGCGAGATGTGGTTGGTCTAGAGCTCGTCACGTGATATCAATTGCGAGGGTCGTAATTGTTATATTTTCCTGGTCGGTCACTTTCCAGTGTTATATTAACCAGCCGGTAAAATTAATATTTTTAATTAATGCATGTCGCCCTCTCGAGGTTTTTATGTCACTAATGACACACATTTTTTTTATCCCCCCAACATTTTTTTTTAGATTTTTTTTATAATTTTGAAAGATATGATTTGTTCCCGAATGATCTTGACGTATCTTTTTCCTCACAATTGTTTTGTAAAATGTTGTTTGTCCCCCCAAAAAATGTGAACACATTTCGGGCAACAAAAAATGATCCCCCAACATTTTTTAAACCAAAAATAACAACTGGGCGTTGTGGCGTGCGCTTGTAATCCAGCTAAAAATGAAAGCTACAAACTGATTCAGCCAAAGACGCAGGTTCGAAACTGAGTCACGTCTTTCGGATGGTGACGCTAAAAGTCGGTCCCCAGACGTAAACAATCATCTCTAATTGGTACACGTCTGTAAAACCAAATTACACACACACTTACACACCATTCCAACTTTATAGGAAACAGAGTAAATTTATTTTCATCATCTCGAATGAAAAGCAAGAAAAATGGCGTTGACGATAATTGTTTTCTTAATAATTATATTAAAGTTAATACAAAGTTTTGGTATTGGGTCATGAATTTAGTTTAAATGAATATATTGGAAGTTTATGCTATCCTACAATATTCAGTGATCGTTGTCGTGGTTGAAATCTAGTTTAAAGTTATGAAATTGTAAATGATAAACTCTATGTTGTATAGCTCCCCATCAAGTTCAAGATATTACTTAAAGGTAAAGACCAGTAATGGTCATGTGATTGCATTGTGAAAGAAACGTTGTGGAATCGATCAGAAAAGGTTGATCATCTAGCATCTAGCATCTGCAAGGTTCTGGAATCATCAAAATGATAAGAAATTTGGCCCATTCTTCGTAAAGTTACAAGCACTATACACAGAAAGATGTATATGGGACTACCCTATCTCTCTCACCAGACCATGAGAGAAATAAATTTACCAAATATATGAATTAGTAGGCGGTTTCCCGGCAAATTTTTTATCATCATGTATTAGTCAAAACATATTCTTTCACATGATTGGTAATGAGAGCATCCATTTCATTTTTTGAAATTGGGGCGTTGCCAATACTGGTCTTTACCTTTAAGCTGTACAAAATGTTTCTTGACTAAGATCGACCGATTAGCTATTCCCGTTTGGAAATTATATATTAAAACTACATATTCTGAGATTTTCATGGTCGCGGCTGCCATTGTACGGCCGTATGCGCTATTTGAAATTTATCAAAATTTACCGGGAACACCGGTAAATTTGTATAGTTAATTTTTCTCGAAAGCAGAAGTGTTTTAGGGGCTTAATTTTCTAAGTGCTTTTAAAACATCCACAGGGCATCCAAATATATCAAAATTATAAAGAATCACTATCCACCAAAATTTTAAAATTTCCCAAAACTTTGTATTACCTTTAATTGCAATGTTCACATTTCAACTCAAATGTTGTTTGTGGTTACATTTTTGTCACGATAAATTTGATTTAGTCATCCTTTGTTAAAGAAATTGAGAAGGAACAATACTTCATAAATGCATTTTGACAAATAAATTTAATGTGATTTTCAGTCCCCCCCCCCCAGCTATACCGCACAGAGTTATTACAGGAGGAGGTGATATTGCAGGCCCCCAATATCTAAACTCATTTAATTTCTTATTCTAGAGAGTTTGTCAAAATATTTTCGAAATTTGAGCACAAAGAATGGCATTTCCACAAAAAAGATAAAAGCATTTCAAGTCTAGCTGATAAAAGGTTGCTAAAATATAACGATGCTCGTTAATTTTACACATTGTCTTACTAAATGCATATTGTTGTATTTACAGACTGATATGTTGTATCGCTAAAGTGCTTTGTTTCAACACAATCGCACAGTAATACACGCATGCGCAAACAAGGCCCTAGTTCGGAATCTGGCCGACTTAATTTTAACGATCTCCATCGAAGATTCCATGATGCTAGAATTGGAAAACAGATCTTAGGGTGAACTTTAACGCTACGTAGGGTTAGCGTTCAGTGGGCTGGGCGTACGAGTCCGTTAATAAAACACCATCTTCAACGGGTTGCAGCAAGCGTAGGGAATATCAAAGAGATAAAATATTATATAACAACCGGGCAGATTCTGAATAGAGAAGGGTCCATCGCAAACATTGGCACTGTGAGCCAATGGTTCAAAGTAGCTGTCGTAGTAAGCCTAACGCTGTGTAATACTTTTAGAGACGTGCCTGTATTATAAACCGATTAAATAATGCCTGCCATGCCCATAATTATGAAAAAGCTTTGGGATTAAATTTTTAACGTCTACTCTCTTTGCTGTTTAAATATCATGTTTCTAATTGCAGATTCAGATGACCTCCCTTAACATAAGGAAATTTGATATGGTTGAATGAGGCATGCATTAAGCCCACTAAAGATTTAAGGTATAGAATAGCCGACAATAAGGAATCACTTTCTTTTCTTTTTCGATCTTGGAGATTTGACTGGAACTGATGTTGAGATGATGTTTCTTTAATAAACAAAAATTGAATATTACTATACTTTTGTTAATGGCTACTTAATTTGCATATAATCATTCCGTTTCTTCCCTCGCGTATGCAGGCCTATTGGATTGGTTTTAATGACAGGAGCTACGAAGGCTCATTTAAGTGGAGTGATGGGACTAGTGTGAACTACGTACATTGGCAGAGCGGTGCACCTAACGACAACAGGGGAGAAGATTGTGTGTCTCCCCGTAACTCTGGTAGCAGTGATGTTACCAGGGAGGAGTGGAATGACTACGACTGCAACGAAGAGAAATCCTACTTCTGCTACGTACCTCTCACCATCTAAATCACTGCATGGCAAAGGTTCCCCATAGGTCAAATCAACCGTATCTCAAAAATTAGCTTTAACACACTAGCCAACTTCGACGTATAAATACAATTGCAATAATTACAATAAAAACAAAAGAAAAAAACAAAGAAATAAACCAAAAAGTATATCAAGCAAATAAACACGGATGTTAAATAAAGACCAAACCGCCCCAACTCACGATAAATCTATCCAGTTGATGCCAATGTCCCTCCAATTCTGATTAATGTGATATTGATTTAGATGGTATTGTACTCTTTTGGAGACAATTGCACAACATTTTTATTGTAATTAGAAATTCCATTATTAGAACCTTCTATTTTGTGCGAAAACTAGAACTTTAAGCTATTAAAGTAGTTCACTGTCTAGACTGTTCTCTATTCGTACGTATTAGCGACCTATACGCGCCCGCTCATACGCTAGCTATAAAAGGGACTTTTAGATTTGCACGTGGACATAGTGGACTGCTACATGTGACTTCATTTTAAGGCACTGACAGTACCTTAAAAGGACGTCAGATTGCATTAAAATGACGTCACAAGTAGCAGTCCCTAATACTACAAAGTCACGCATTAATACAGACCCTTAGAGCTAGTGAGGAACGGTAAATTCCGTTGTGAGAGAGCGCGCGAACGCACTCAAAGATAAAATATATCAAACGAACATAATCTGTTCCATGTATTAAGTAGTATTTTTGCACATATTGTAATTAAGTTTGTCCTGAATGATTACGCAGAAGCACAGAATGAACTAATTTATCGATAAAGAACCGCTGAGAATATAATGAAGTCTACACAAACTTTATTTATTTATATAGGTCTATTATTATGTTTATATGGAGCTCGTTTCCCCTGAGGATGTCGATGTTCTGTGCGATAGAGAGAAAGGAGAGAGAGAGGGATAAAGAGAAGGGACTGAAGGAGAGATAGTGAGGTAGGGGACAGAGGGAGAGCAAGAGAGAGGAAGAGTGAGACAGAGAGCGAGAGAAAATGAAAGATTGGAATGATTAAAAGAGCGAAAGAGTGAAAGGGGGAGAGAGAGAGAGGGTAAGAGAGAAAGAAGGGAGTGAGTGAGAAAAAACGAGAGAGAGAGAGAGGGATAGAGAGAAAGAGCAAGAAAGAGAAAGAGAGGGGAGAGCGAGAGAGAGAGAGAGAGAGAGAGAGAGAAAGCGAAAAAGTGGGAGGGAAAGAGATTTCTTATAGCAAATTTGCTCCTAGCCATTTAGATGCCACGATTCCAAAATCTTATACAAGTTATTGAAACTTGCTATTGATAACAACTTTTATGACATAAGGCCCCGTTTTCCTTTAATGTTGCTTTACATTTCCATAACCCATCTCGTCCTTATTTTCTCTTTTCCATGTACCCTTCTCTTTTTACCATTTCAAGAATTTCAGCAAAGCTAATGGCCGCAAATTTAGCGTACCCGCATCCAAAGAATAAAACAGTATCCCATGGTTCTAGGACACCTAGCCCCTCAATATCCACCCCGGAAGTCTATCCCCGGACACCTACCCCTACGACAACCATCCTCTAGGACAACTACCCCCGAACAACTATCATAGGGGTTGGTTGTCTGGGAGTAGCTGTCCAGGAGGTTGTTGTCCTATGGGATAGTTATTCGGGGTAGTTGTCCTGGGGGTAGTCGTCCTAGAGGGTGGTTGCTATCCCCGGATAACCACCCCAGACAAGTACCCCCCTAGGACAACTACCCCTTAGGGCAACCATCCTCTAGGAGGATTACCCTCAGGACAACTACCCCATAGGACAACTACCCCATAGGACAACTCACCCCCAGACAACTACCCCCAGACAAGTAAACATATCAAAATCCCATTGGATGAACTCGCACGGTTTTGGACTACTTTGGTCATTTCGATTGGTAGCTTGTGTTTTGCTGAACTACACGGGTTAAGCGGAGGGCCGAAGTTAGAAAAGATCGGTTTGCCTGCCACTTCCACACAAACTAAGCCCACCTTGTTTATTCGAAAGATTTTATTATAATACACACATTTTCACATTTTTTTAAATAACGGTTACCACTTAAAATCAGAGGGAGCGTCCAATAAATTTGCTCTTTGGCATGAAAATATGATTTAGTTGATACTAGTCTAAGGAATCTACTTGGTGTTGCCTCCTCACTCCTGAATAAGAAGTGAGCAGACCTTCTGGCTTTGATCCCATATCCTTTAGCATTACTATTCGTTGTGAAAAATTGAAATAAGCTAATTTAAATTGATTTGGGAAGGTATTGGTATGGACAACTACCAACAAGAAAGAAGGATAGAGGTTAGGGAATTTTTTTTTTTTATAAGAGGTCAAAAGTCATTGACCTCTGCCTAAATGACTGAAAATTGTATTTCAGCAACAAAATATGGTTTACATAATCTTGTTGTCAAAGTGCACAGGATTACAAAAGAAGATGACATTTGGTGGATTTTTATTCATTCCAAGAGCAGATGGGGAGGGAGAATTTTCATTTCGGGGATTAAAGGTCATTGATCCTGCACTAAAACGCAATAAATTGTATCACAGCAACAGCATGTTTGACATATGCCTCAATGATCTTGGTGTTAAAATGCACATAATTATACTAGGAGACAAACCAAATATTAAATGGATTCTTTACCAAAAAAATACTAGATTATAGGTAAAGAATGATCAAGGGAGGGGGTAAAAGTTTTTTTAGTGTCAAATAGTTTGTGTTTTTAAAGTTATGTGCATTTATAATCAACAATTTGTAGAATACTACTCACACCTTAGAACTTACAGTAACTAACGGAACACAATGTAAACTAATAGTACTTAGTCTGTTTCCTCTTCATCGCTACCAATAACTTGTTCTAACTAGTTTGTGTTTTAAAAGTTATGTGCATTTATAATCAACAATTTGCAGAATACTACTCACACCTTAGAACTTACAGTAACTAACGCAACACAATGTAAACTAATACTACTTAGTCTGTTTCCTCTTCATCGCTACCAATAACTTGTTCAGCATCTATGCTATCTGTTCCATTGGGACAATGTCCACATCAAACTGTACATGCATTACGCATGACTTGCCAGCTTCCATGCAGCTGCATTTCATCTGTTGACACTGCCTCTCCCCTTCTTTGCAGTTGAAACAAATTCCACCCAGAAGGTTGTCTGGCGCGATACCAGCATACAGCATCTTGCTGAGTTTTCTCTTCCAATCTAACTCCTATCCTGTTCATTTGGGATACAAAATAAAGGTGTCAAGATGCTTCATATCAAAACTTGAAGATGGACACGAAAGGAATGTTGAGCTGTTGCATCTTCCGTTGGTGGAAGGCGGTCAGGTTCGATTTTGCCCTTGGCTGCCTGCTTCTTGAACTTTATATAGCGAGACTTATGGTGGAGTCGGTTAAAGTGTCACTCGTGGCGGCGAAGCGACTTTTAAAGTGGGGGGGGGGCACCAACACAAAAGGGCACCTACAAAGTGAAGTCTCAAAGCGAAAATAACATTTGTTTAAAACATTGGTATATACCCTAGTATTGTGATTACATTATCATGGATGATTTCAATCTTTGTTTCTATTTATACATCGTATAAGATATTGCTAAGCATCATACCTTTCAGTTGGGTGTGATAGTTTGCACATTCATTTGCGAGCGAGCAAAGCGAGCGAGGAAAACAAATACATTTGTGAGGTCGCAGTGCCAACATATTACATCTTATAAAGATGAAAAATCCAATTGTGATGGGGTTATAATCGCATTTTCATTACAGAAGACTAAGGGAAACTTAGGTACATAACATAATTTAACATCTATAAATACGAGCGAGCATAGCGAGCGAGCTTTGGGGGATATTGCTCTTAGTCGCTTGAAATTAAGGGCACGTTTAATGATGCGAAGAAAAGGGGACACTTATCGAAAGGGAAGACACTTATTAGAAAAGAAAAGGAGCACGCGTCAAAGTACAACGGGTGATTATAAGAAGTTAAAATTGGGCACTTCTTACACCTAAAAAGGGGCACTCACCAGAAATGAAAAAGGCACTTATGAGAATGGATAAGATAGGGGCATTTATAAGAAGTGAAAATAGGCATTTAAAAAAAGAGGGATAGGTTCCTTATAAGAAAGGAAAAGGGGCACGTATCATTGTTAAAAGGGTAATTATCAGAGGTAAAAAGGGGCACTTATCGCATCTGAAAAGGGACACTTATGAGAATGAAAAAGGGGCACTAGTAATTAATCAAATTAATATTGGTTGAAAGAAAAGGGGCACTGATCAAATTTCAATGTGGGCATTTATCGGAGGTGAAAGTGGGATATTATGAGAAGGGGGAAGTGACTCTTGTTAAAAAGGAAAAGAGGCACATATTAGAATAAACGGGGCACTTATCTGAACTTAAAAGGGGGGTAATTATGAGAAGGAGAAGGGGCACTTATAAGAAGGAAAAAGAGCATTTATTACGAAAGAAAAGGGGCACCTTTTTAAAATAAAAGGTGCAGTTATTAGAGATGAAAAGAGAACTTATCATGAGGAAAAGAGGCACTTGACAAAGTAATACGAGTATTTCTCAGAATTTAATAATGTCATTCACCAGAGATGAAAAGGACCACTTATGAGAATGAAAAGGGACTATTTTCATAGCTGAAAAGGGGCATTTGTGAAAAGGGGAAGGGGCTCTTTTTTACTGGGGGCGCTTATCATAATGGAAAAGGGGCACTTATTACAAAGTAAAGGGGGCCACATTTGAAAATATAATGTGCGCTTATTCGAGTTAAAAAGGAGTTATAATTAAAAGGGGAAGGGGCATTTCTTACAAAGGAAAAGGGGCACTTGTCGATATAAAAGAGGCCCCTCTCAGATTTGAATAGGGCAATTATCAGAGGTGAAGGGGGCGCTTATCAAAAGAGAAAATGGGCGCTTCTTGTACCTGAAAAGGGGCACTTATTAGAGATTGAAAAGGGTGCTTATGAGAGTGGAAAATGGACCCTAATTGCAAAGGAAAATGGGAACTTGTCGGAGGAAAAGGGGTAAATGTCAAAATAAAAGGGACACTTATCAGAGGTGGAAAGGGGAAGGGTCACTTTTAACAAAAAAATAGGGGCACTTGTCAAAGTAAAAGGGGCACTTTTTACAAACTTAAAGGGGCACTTTTCTTATGTAAAAAGGGGCACTTTTGAGGTACTTGAAAAACTACCCCTTCTCCCAGAGCGCCGTCTCTGAATGCAGTAATGACACTGGCAGGTGTGTCCATGAGTGCAAGAAATAGGATCGTTTCAAGACCAGCCATACTTGAAGAGGAACTTTTCTTTGTCTCCGATGTCTATGCTAAAGATGTCGTAAAGACCATTAAAGTCTGCTTGTTAATAATAATCAGTACTTTGGATAGGCCTACGATAGTAGAGCAGTATCAAAATATTATTGTCTTAGGCGACAGCAACAACTAGGGAATTAACACTTACGACCAATTCCATTGCAGACCTAACAATCAGCGTGTCAACATCATCTTTTGTTTGGCGTACAGTGATATTGTGGCTTGCCATCCAGGCGCGCTGGAAGCAGTTTGGATTTTGGGGGGAGGGGGGTGGGGGCAAACGTTCCAGGGGGCTCAAATTCCAGGGGCAGTGGCGTAATGAGCAAAAACCTTTGGAGGGGGGGGGCACACAAAAACTGCATTACCGTAGTCATGTGCATTTTGACACCAAGTTAATCTATATACCATATTTTGTTGCTGAGATCCAATTTAATAGTGTTTTAGTGCAGGTCAATGACCTTTGACCCTCAGAAAGTAAATTTGTC